TATTTTTTATTCATAAATAGATATTTAAATATCAAAAAAAAAACATTATATATATATATATATCTTAAAGATAAATATATAAATATATTTTTTTAAATTGATATTTTTTTCTCAATATCTATATCTATTTATTAATATTTTATTCATTATTTCCATCAATACTATATATATTGATAACTCAAAAGCTGATAAGAAATAAAATATATGTTATTTTGTACACTAAAGACATATATAGTTAAATATATGTAATTTTTTGATTTGATATTTCTTGAACAGGTTATAGCAAAAGAATGAGATTTAAATAAATTTTTTTTTTCATAATGAGGAATAAATATTTTGGACATGGATATAATTAATATAGAAGATGTGGAAACTGGTGTTCGTTCATCTAAAAATTCTACTTCGATACAATGCAATTGTATTCATTCAAATTCAATATGCTATATTGCTATAACAATTGCTACTCTAGCTCTTTTGGGTGCAATTGTTTTTATCTGCAGAGATTATATTAAAGTGTTACTTTATTGGATTGAACATCAGAATATATGGATCGTTACTGTAATATTCATTGCATTGTTCACAGTGGTCTCATTCCCTATTGTAATTGGTTATTTATTTCTTATTATTGCCAGTGGTTATCTGTTTGGCATATTAAGAGGTATTGTCATGGTAGTATTATCTGCCAACTTGGGAATAGCTATAGCACATGTAACTCTTAGTTTGTTATCATCCAAATTACCTATTGGAACTCTTATGCAAAATGATACTGCAAGAGCAATTCTAAGAGTTATATCTGGATCACAAGCTTTCAAAGTTGTGTTACTTGCAAGATTAACTCCTATTCCTTTTGGTCTGCAAAATACAATTTTTGCGGTATGTTTTTTATAATTAATATTTAATAATATTAATAAAAAGTTATATTAATAATATATAAATATTTAGATAAGTAATATGGGTGGCATTCAATATCATATAGCTAGTGCATTAGGATTATTGCCTGCTCAGATTATCAATATTTATTTGGGCAGTAGTTTAAGATCTATGCAAGATGTTCTTGAAGACAAATCAACAGCAGCAACTAGTTATATTGTCTTCTGTTTTCAAGTATATAAACAAATTAAGATTTAATTTTTTATAATATTTAAAAATACAAATAATTTTTTCATTTCAATTTCAGATTCTAATAGGTATTTCATTGATGGTATATGTTGTACAAAAAGCACGTAGAGAACTTCAACTAGCATTATTAGAGGCTGATCTTGCCTCAATGGCTGATACTTCTCATTATCTTCTTGATACATTACCAGATTCTAAAATTGTTTTGACAAATCTAATTGCCTAAAAATGGAAATTTTTTTTTTGAAAATGAGAAAACTTTTTCATTGCATGTTTCATATTTAACAATTTTATTTGCTTAAAAAAAAAAAAATAGAATATTTAATAATTTGAAAAAATTTAATTTATTACAGCAAATATAATTATACACTCATTTATAAGAGATAGCTTATCTTTTCCATATAATATTATTATTGAAAGTAAGTACTGCATTTTGTGATACAAATAACAATTAATAAGTGTTTTATTGAAAATAATTTAGTGAAAATTTTTAAACAATTCGAAAAAAAATAGAGCATCATGTTCATATTATATGTTCATATTATTTAGATTTGTGCCAAATCTTTTTTTTACATATTAATTATTTTACATTTAAAAATCTTCATGTATTGTTGTCTTTATAAAAAATTGAGTGCATTTATATTTGTTGATATATATTAATTTTTATGAATTATTAGCAGCTTTGCATTTATTTTTGCTAATATATTTCTATATTATAATAAGTCTTCCAAAATATTTGTTAATTTGAACTTTACATGGAAGAATTGATTAACTGGAGGGAAAATTAAAAGTCAATCAAATATGCAAAACATGAAGATTCTGAAATATTAAAATAGAAAACAATAACTTATTTTATTTAAATAAAAATAAAATTTTTTTGTATATAAATTTAAGTTCTCTTTTATAATGAATATGTTATATAATTAGATTATATTTTATACAATTGCATTGTATAAAAAAATGTGCAAAGAAAGAATATATAAAACACAATAATATAGCTATACTATACAATGTATTGAAAAAAAGATTTAAAATATTTGTACAGGATATACATGATTTTCATGATATTCTGTGAATGAATATATATTTTTGTAACTGTGTTAAAGTAAATTAAATATAAAAAGATCATATAAAAATTGTTTAAAAAAAAATCCAAGTATATATGATTTTAGCTATTTGACTTCTATATAATATCTTAAATATAATGTACAAAATACAGAATATTAATTAATATAAAAAGATTACATAATTGCATTTTTTATAGAAAAAACAAAATATTCATATTATATAATATTTATATTATTATATAACAAATTATTAAATAAACTTGATATGCATTTGTTATTGGGAAGACTGAAAATATAATAATTGTAGCTGCAAATTTGTATTACTTTGTCATTATATCATTATTCAAAATTTTTGTCATTTTTTATTGTGTATGTTATTATGTTAATTTAAATTTAATTTTTTTCAAATTTAATTGATCTGTATAATATCATATCTATCATAGCTATGTATTATATAGCCTTATTTCATTACATATAATTAGTAATTTTCATTGTTTATTTTGAATAACTATGTATATAAGATACTGTACCAATTTGATAAATTAAGATATATTACATAAAAAAAAGAACTGCATTGTACAAATGTAATATATATAATTATATTAAATAAAAGAAGTTATATCACATATTATTTTATAATTTTGTTTTTAATTATATTTTTTTTTATATTTTTCTAATACTCTTTTAATAACTGCAAATGTAAAATCTGCATCCTCTTTTGTTATGCATAAAGGTGGTTTTATTCGTAATACCTATATATATCAAATATCATTAATATTCAAATAATATGTCTTAAAAATATGTAATTATTATTTAACTTACATTTGCATGTAACCCTCCTTTCCCAACGAGAATTCCCATATTTTTAATATTTTCGAAAATCTCAAGTATGCGTTCAGATTCTAAGGGTCTTTTCGTCTCGGAATTTGAAATTAATTCAATTCCGATCATTAATCCTTTTCCTCTAACATCACCAATAATATTGGGAAATTCTAATAAAAAAGTACTCAAACGATTGATCAAATACGTGCCGACTATATGTGCATTTTGTTGAAGACCTTCTTCTTCTATGATCTAAATTATTGTCATTTTAATTTATTATATTATTTAATATTGTATTGTTATACTTAACAATATTATAATGTAATTTTAAGAACATATAAATAAATATAATATAATTACATCTAATACTGTTGATCCTACAACACATGCAAGTGGATTTCCTCCGAATGTATTAAAATGTAATGCAGAATTTAAACTATTGGCAATTTTGTTATTTGTAACTACCGCTCCGAGAGGAAATCCATTTCCTATTCCTTTTGCTAGAGTCACTATATCCGGTTCTACACCGTGACTTTCAAAACCCCAAAAATGTTCTCCCGTTCTACCAAAACCAGTCTGAACTTCATCCGCTATACAAAGACCACCCTTTTCATGAACATAATTATATATTTTCTGAAGAAAATATTTGGGATATTGAACTGCTCCTCCTATTCCCTAAAAGTTGCGTAGTTATTTGAAAACTTTTGTATTTTTAATTAATCGTAAACAAAATCAAGAACAAAAAAAAAATACCTGAATACTTTCAGCTATAAATGCAGCTATATTATGCGAACATGGCAAGCTAAAACGAAACGATTCATCAAATTTTTGAAAATATTTTTCAGAAGCTATACATTCTTTATCTTTACAATCACATTTTCTTCCTGTCACTTGTATAAGCGAATCTCTACATTTTGATCCACCCCAATTACCTCTATATATATCTGGATATATCATCTGAAATGATTCCAATTATTTACTTCCATTTTGAATTATTAAAATCTGATCAATATTAATTATTATTGATATTAATTACGTGTATATAACCAGGTGGTTGTACAATAAATGGATATTTCCATGTACTCATCGCTGTAGATGCTGATGTTCCATAAGTTGTACCATGATAACTGTTTTTTAATGAAATAATATTATGATTACGTGTATAAAGTCTAGCCATTAGGAACGCTAATTCATTTGCTTCTGAACCACTATTTGTTAGATATACAACTCTTAATTTATTTGAAAATTTATTCATTAACTTGTTTACATATTCATATAAATAAGGATGCATATAAGCGGAAGATACATGGTTTAATTTCGATGCTTGTTTAGATATAGCAGTTATTATTTTTCTAAAAAAAAAATATATTATTTTTTATATTTCTCAATTTTTGATCACATTTTTATCAATATATATTTTTTATTATATAGTCTTACGGATGAGAATGACCAACAGAAATAGTAGCAACTCCACCAAACATATCCAAATATCGTTTCCCGCGATGATCCCATAACCATTGCCCTCGACCTTCATGTATTAATAGTGGTTCTTTGTAAAATTGCTTCAAAGAAGGAGATATAATTAATTCGTATGCTCTTTTAATAAATTCATAATTTGTACCCTATATTATAAATAAATGAAATATAATTTTTTATATATTATGTAGTACATATTTATAATATAAAAAAAATAATTTTTATATATAAATGAAACATTTTACCTTATAGATAGAAGGTACATAATCACAATTAGGCATTTTTAAAAAATCATTTGATGTATTTGCAGAATTTCTTGTCTGCATAGGAAACCCTAAGATATTGTATTTTATTTTAAATATATTTTAATTACAAAAAACTAATTGAATAATTAATTAAAATTTAATACATAAAAAAATACTTACATTTTAAATTTATAAAATATACCAAATTAGGTCGAATTGCGGTGATTCGTAAACATTTATTTAACATATTTCTCTAAATTTTTAATAATTATTGAAATACAAATTCTATATTTTATATTTTATATTAAAAATTATTAATAATTTACTTTTTACTTTTATGAACTTTGTATTGTTTTATGTTTGATGATTGAATATATACTACAAATGTTATCCGATTATATATGCATAAATCTAAAAGTTAACGAATTTATTTTCATATAAATATTCATGTATTAAATATACATATAAATTCGATTCTATATATATATATAAATGAGGTCAAAAAATTTATTTTAAAGTATTGATACAAAAATATTCAAATATTCTATTGTAAATATTCATATTGAATATTAATATTGATGTTATTTTTAAACAAAATTGAATCCACATTATTTTAATTCATATAAAAAAATTTTTTTTAAAAAAGATGATATTAAAAATAAATCATATTATTATTGCTGTACAAATAAATTTATTTATAATCAATATTTATTTACATAATTATTTACATATAATATTAATTTACATTTTTTCTGTTATATTTTCATTTTGAGATATTTGTTTTTTATTAAATATTTTATTATTTTCAATATATAATTGTTGATTTGAAAATGATTTTATTTTAAATGTTATTGGTATTTTTTTTAAAATGGGATTTATTTTTTGTAGACATCTTATCCATGATAACAGAGAATCTTTGGAAGATGTACCTGTAGCACAAATTGCATAATATACCCCATCTTCTTGCTCATGTTTAGTAACAGGTATTTTAAAGTGATGTTTTTCCCAAAATGGAATTTGCAAATGAGATACATCTAAAAATAATATATATTAATATATATAATATTAATAATATATATTTCTATTAATTAATATATAATTATATTATTGTATTATAT